TTTGCATGGAATGCAAAACCCAGCTTCTAAATCAGGCGTGGCTGAGCAGCCCGTTGGTGTTGGTGGGGTTAACCTGCTGAGCCTGGAGAAATCCCTACCTGGGTCTATTCCTGATGTTCCCTTTATGGCTTCAGCTGGAGAGCCTTCTCTTCTCCTTATTCCAAACATTTTTGCTCTTGAAGAGCTATCACATCCTACCCCTGATGTGGCTGCATTCTTGTGGTAAGTGAAGTGATTCCCAGTTTTGGAATGACTTGGGACCTTTTATGAGGTATAAAACGCTGGACCATTAGCAAACCCATAGTCTCCTGGGAGCTCTCAAGACAGAGTAGCACTCCAATACAAAAGGATTAGGTATTGTGCTTTTGTTATTGTTATATTAGCGGTATTATTGTGCTTCCCTCTTGTCCAAGCACTAGGAGGTGCTGCTGGTAACGCTGGAAGCATTTCCCGACATCTGCAACTGCTGCATCCCGAGCAGGGAGCCCTGTGCAGGCAGTCACCTTGTGCTGTGGGGTTATTAAATCCTGATGGAGCACAGAGACAGAACCAGGCACCCCGACAGGCGAGCAGTACCTCTGCACACTGTGCTGCTCACCCTCCCTTTCTTACGCAAAGCTTGATACTTGGTGGAAGGCTGTTAATTTATTTGTTTTGTTGTGTTGGTTTTTTTTTTTGAATACATATTTCAGACAAACAAACAAGCTAATAACTCCCACAAGTTGCCGTGATGCGCCTAACCACATCCGCGCCGTTGTGCTTCCAGACAGATGTTGCCAGGATTCAGCTGAGTCACCAGCAGTGTTAGCAAAAGCATGTTCAGATGCAAGGACTGATAAGGAATCCCTCTGTCCTCACTGCTGCTGCGCTGCAGCCCCTGCAGCCTTATCCTCCTGCCAGAACGGGACCTTTGGAGCACCCTAGCAGCGATCACCTGCAAAGCCCTTTCCTTACGAGTGAAGCAGAGGCTTTGCAGGAGCAATTTGAGTTCTCTGGGAGGTTACCCACTTCTGCATGGGGCTTGTGCAACGTTGACCTGAACACTACAGCTGGGTTCACTTTGGACTGGACCCAGCTTGCGGTGAAGACAACAGGCTTCACTGGCAGCTGGAGGTGGCATTGCAATGGTACATTGCAGGGTCTGGTTCTGATTCTCTCCGATCCGATGGCAAAAACTTCCCTTTGACTTCATCAGGAACAGGGTTGGGCTGCCCGTGTTTTCATTCAAGAAGCAGCCAGTCAGGCGGGCCCCAGCACTGACGAACGCTGTGCAGCGACTAGGTAGTAAAAGCCAGACCAAGCCTCCAGTAATATGTGGGGGTTTTCCAGTTCACTGTCAGGTTCGTCGTGAGGAGAGCGGGCTTGTCCCCCAAGCCCCCTCCTTGCATGCAGGCAGTTGAGCAGATGACTGAAGCTCATCTCAGGGGTAGGAGAAAGGGAGATGGAGGGACCCTGATCCTGGACTACAGTTGCAATGGCAGGTTCAGGAATAAAGGAGTGTGTTTTGGGGGAAAATACCTCCCAGATCCGAATAAGTCCTCTGTGAGATGCCGTGAGTGGTAAGTGATGTGGGTGGGAAGAGAAGGAAGCATGATCTCCGTCAAGGAAATCACCAGCTTTCTAGGGATGAGGCACCTGGAGCTGATACTTTCTGCCCCCTGAGCAAGCAGATGAGGAGCAGCAGTTCCTCCTTGCTGCCTCTCCCCGGCTCTGGAGGAGCTGGCTCACAAGCAGAGTGTGCAGCTGGCCCTCTCAGATGGGTTTTAATAGCAGAAACAGGGTGATTATTTTGTTAGGACTCTACTTAAGCCCCCAAAGCTCATTCCACAAAAGCTACCAGGACTTGCTATCCAGTGCTGATGACTTCCAAGTGCTTGTCTGGATGAGAGCTGGCAATTTGGAGTGAAGCCTGTCTCCCTCTGCTGAGCCACATCCTATTTCATTTTCTTCTTTTGGAGTCGCATCCAGCGCCTTTTCAGTACAAGGGAACACCATGGTTCTCTTGCCAGCATGTAGAACCAGTAAGCTGGGCTGCAGTAACCCCTTACCTCCCCAGGAAGCCAGTCTGCAAAGCAATCCTTTTCCCCAAAGTGACTGGAGCTTCAAGGGTTACAAAGAGGATTAAATGCAGACAGCCGTGTCCACCTGAAGTATGAAGTCTGCTCTGCTGACAAGTCTACCATGAGTCACCAGCCTTCATGGTTAATCTTCTGTTACTGAGTGCATGGCTGCTACGGAAGGGGAGCTGCACTGCTCGCAGTTTTCTGCCTTAGTTTATTTGCAGACACTTTCCCCTGTGCAGCTCCATTCGATGACTGCTGCTCCTGAAATGGCTTTGCTCCATCTAGGTTTCCTTCAGGAGAAAGGAGGAACCCTCACTTTCATGCCAGTCCCTTTGGAGAGCTCTTGAAGCCACCACCTCCACCACCCCCGGCTACGGTGCCCTTTCCTGGGAGCGATGGGTGAAGGAGGTAGCGGGCAGCGCAGGATACGTTGGACAAGCTCATGTTAATTTTCTTTTCTTGCTAAAGGGGCTGTGTTGTCAGGGTGGACGCTGAAGGATGGCTCTCCTTGTCTAGCCCACCATTTGCAGGGAGACCATGTCCTCTCTGTCCCCATGGCAATGTGTCTGGTGCAGCACTGCTGCATGGAGCTTCATCTGTATCCCTGAGCGGGGCAGCTAATGCAAACACTTGAAGCAAAGCTCTTACAGCTGCATCCGTCGGGGGTGTCCGTCAGCCGGAGCAAGGCAGGAAGACCGGAGTTAGCATTCTCCTGCAGAGAGAAGTTCTTGCTCAGAGGTTTATTTTGCTCCTTACTTGCCTCAGCTTGCTCCTTGCAAACACAGACCATAACTGAGGAGCTCCAAGTTGCTCTTCCTGCTTATTTGCCCTGCTCCTTACTGCTTGTTTGTACTCAAAGAGCACCTGAGCCCACAAGCACTGTGTGCCCTGTGTGCCCTGTGCTTCCACACAGAGCGGATGGGTGACACGGGAGGAGAAGCACAGAGCAGAGAGCTTGGGACGGAGCCTCTGATGAGGCATTCCCAGAGCAGTGCTCTAGCAGCTGAACCATGCTGCCCATCCAGCCTGGGCTGTCTCCAGGTCTTCTTCCAGGTGTTGGTGGAAGCCTATATGCGCGATTTGAACAATGATTTTCAGAAAGCCTTTTAGAAAGGCTTGCAGCTATGTGCCACACCTCTGGACAAGGCTTAGCTATGCTTGGGCTAAGCCATAGCCCGTGTTAAGGACACATCCAGACATTTGGTGCTAGTGGTCTATAATTCTTAGCTACAGAGCAAATAATTCTGGAAGGAAGGTTTGATATGCTATTGCCAATCATGAGATAACTGATTCCACTTTCTCTTCAGCTCTATGTTCATGTTCTCCCTTAAAGCATGGCTCCAAAACTTACTTCTGCATGGAAATCATTGCTTCAGCTCTAGTGAAGAAGCTTTGCGGCCCAGAAGTGTCATTGTCGTCTCTTTCTTTCTCTTCTACATGTAGTTTAATAGCAATGTTAAAAAAAAAAAAAAAAAGTAATTCTTATCCAGAAGCGAGAACAGGCTCATGGTACTGCCTTGTAGCTTCCCTCTTTCTGAGCCACCCAGTTTATCATGGCTTCATGGCCTTCCCCTGCGAAGCTTGAAGTTGCCTGGAGCTGCTCTTCTTGAAAATAATCTCTCCAAGAACCACTTCCAACTCTCATTTTCCATGTCTGTGTACACCAGTGTCTCTCTAGAAGTTGAGACATCTCCTCACAGCCTTGTTTTAATTAATCTTAGAAACTGCCCCCCTTTTATTCCACTGAAAGATGGGTTGGTTGGAATGTGCTCGTTCTTCCCATGACAGCTTTGATCCCGTGCACAGAACTGCTCTGTGACAGCCAGACAGCAGGGAAGGGCTGTCCGTAGCCTGAAGGGCTTCAAGAGTCATGAATGAACGCTGTGTTTACTTGTATTTCTAATTGACTAGTGCCTTGCCAGATCAGCTGCGTGTCACTGCAAGCCAAGGGCATTGAGACAATCCTTGTTCCTCTACAGCTCCTTCTTCGGACTGGGAAGTTGTTGCTGGAGGCCACAGCCATCCAGCTCATGCTGTTGGGAGCCTCATTTGGGATCAGGATGAAGAAAGGCTTTTCTTCTGTGGGTCTGTCACCAGGTTATGGAAGTTGGGCCTTCCTTCTTGGACCAAAGAGTTTAAACAGAAGTGTACTGGACAAAGATGGGAGTCCTGTCTCCTTTGCTCGGGGTATCACCAGGTGCGATACTTTCCTTGTCCTTAGCGAGCATTGGGACCAAGGCAGAACAAAGTAAGGCTCTCTGGGTTTATTGCCTTGTGGTTAAGACCACCGGGAAGTTTCACAATGGATTTCAAAGGTCTGAATGTTTCCTGAAAGCAGAGTGTTGACAGTTTGGTTTTGGTAATGCCTCTGTCTATTCCCCGTGCAGTGAGTTTGTTCCAGGACCTGCTTAAACCCCTGCCAAGGGATTTCATCCCACAATGTTGACTCTTTGCAGCCTCCTGTGGGTCCGTCTCAGTGCCCTGGATAATCTGTCACCCAAAAGAGAGAGCTAAGGACCACAGGGACTAGAGAGGGCTGGCACTGGGGTGGGGGTGAGGGCACTCAGCTCTTTGATCTGGTCCCTTTAGAGAGGTTTCTGTTTGTCAGGGAAGATATACTTGAGTGGTTTTGTTTCATTTTGAAGTGCAGAAAGTGAATATGCAAGTTACAAAAAAGAAGAAGGAGAACACAGTCAGTTCTGTCACTCTAGAAGGGCTTGTCTGCAAATGCTCACACTTTCTACCCACTCCCAACCAGTGACCTGCAAGTCCTGTTTTTCTCCTTCTGTCCTTGACCTTTCTGGTTTCCTGCTCCCACCTGGTGTCTTCAGCAGTTGCGTTTATCCTGGCTGCAGCAAAGTTTAGGTTTGGGAAGATGACTGTGCTGAGATTTGTTTAATGTTATTTGGTTTCTTCCCTCTCCCTAAACCAGAAACAACTGAGCTTGGGAACAAGAAGGAGTTGAAGTCCATGCCCTTCATCACGTATCTCTCAGGCCTGCTGACAGCACAGATGCTGTCTGATGACCACCTCATCTCAGGTGTGGAGATTCACTGCGAGGAGAAAGGGCGCTGCCCATCCACTTGCCATTTGTGCCGGCGCCCTGGCAAGGAGCAGCTCAGCCCTACACCCGTTCTGCTGGAGATCAACCGAGTGGTGCCTCTGTACGCTTTGATCCAGGACAACGATACCAGGGAGGTGAGTGAGCCGGTGATGGACCAGCTCCACTGCTATGATCCTGCCTTAGTCACCCTTAAGTCTGCCTGCCTCAGTCTCTGCATAAGTGTTGCGTTCCCTGGAGTGGGGCAGTGTTTTTGTGTGCGTGTTTGGTCGGGAACGCTTCGGGATGGTGTCAGCAATGGAGCTGGCAGATCCTGCTGCCCACCACTTAAAGCCCTCACAGACCTGTGTCTCCTGGCCTTCAGTATGGTGAAGGCAATGCCGGGGCCACGGGCATTCCTAGCGTCCATCCACAGCAGGCACCGGTGTGCAGGGTGCATCCTGCGGAGGGGTCTTAAGAGCCAGACATCGGATCAGTCTTTTGCTCCTGGCTCTGAGATCTCAGCTGTAGCTGTGGGAGGGGTGGCCAAAGCCCTCGCAGGGCTCCAGTGTAGCTTTGCAACTAACCAGCCCCTTGGGACAGTCCCGCAGCCACAGGAGGTCAGTGTTACTCCAGGAGGGACCGGCCAAGCTGGAGGTCACCCTTCCCTGCGGTTGGGCTCCTCTGCCTCCTGCAAGAACTTCAGTGTTAATCCTATGGAGATTGATTTCCCACTGTCTTGGTTAGGCTGCTGACCCCCACCCTCCTCTGGAGCCCTCTAACCCAAATATCAGGTCCAAAAATGATAGACCTGCTTAAAGTCACTTACTAGCACTGAGCCCGCACTTGATTAAGATGCCTGGAGGGAGCTAAGGTGCAGCAGCTGTGGGTGGGATGCAGAGGGCTGCAAGTTGGGAAGCAATCCTAGC